GGCATTCACAGCTTGAGGAAGGTTTACCACCTCAACCGCCTGCTCCATCGCTCATCCCCCTCTCATCACTTGCCAGCGTCTGCTTCCCACCCTTCTCCTCCTCCCCACCCCGTCATCGCCATCGCCATCATATCGTCATTATCATCATCCTCCCCGTCATCGCCATCGCCATCATATCGTCATTATCATCATCCTCCCCGTCATCGCCATCGCCATCATATCGTCATTATCATCATCCTCCCCGTCATCGCCATCGCCATCATATCGTCATTATCATCATCCTCCCCGTCATCGCCATCGCCATCATATCGTCATTATCATCATCCTCCCCGTCATCGCCATCGCCATCATATCGTCATTATCATCATCCTCCCCGTCATCGCCATCGCCATCATATCGTCATTATCATCATCCTCCCCGTCATCGCCATCGCCATCATATCGTCATTATCATCATCCTCCCCGTCATCGCCATCGCCATCATATCGTCATTATCATCATCCTCCCCGTCATCGCCATCGCCATCATATCGTCATTATCAGCATCCTCCCCGTCATCGCCATCGCCATCATATCGTCATTATCATCATCCTCCCCGTCATCGCCATCGCCATCATATCGTCATTATCAGCATCCTCCCCCTCCATGATCATGGTCCTAGTCATCGTCACCATCATCATCACTCTGTGCACCTTAGCTCGAAATTGCTCGGTCTCCAACGGTTTGAGCTTGTCCTCGAGCTCTTTCTGCAAGCACGGAGGGTCAGAGGAAGCATCCTCCCTTGCATCTGCTCACTTGTCGCTCCATAATCTTCCACCTCTCCTCGTTCAACGCTCTCAATCTATCCTTCGCTGCCTTTGCCTGCAGAAATCTTTGTGAGGGAGCGACAAAAGGAAGAGCGAGGGGACGAGGGGGGTCGCACTTGAGCTTCACGCTTCTTGCGCTGTTCGCTGTCGTCATAACCCGATTCGAGGAGGAGCATGCTCTTAGGAGGACACGTCAGGCCAAGGCAGTTCCCCTCGGAGAAATCTCTTCACCTCGCTCTTTCGTCCCTCCACCACATCCTCCTCTCCATCCAAGGAGGAAGCAGGAGGTGGAACAGGAGGGAGAGCAGGAGCAGGAGAGGTCCTAACATCTTCGTCTCTGTCTGCTGTCATGCGCTCGTTCACGATCTCGATCATCTGAAACGAGTCAAGAGGCATGATACCGCACCATCGCGTACCTTCTTTCTTGTCTCAAGCTCAAGCATGAGCTCGGCTCGTCGTCGTCGCAGCTGGAGCATCCTCTGCTCCATCTCCTCCATCGCTTCCTTGCTCATCCCACACTCTCAGCCCATCTCTCTCCCCTCCCCCTCCCCCTCCCCCCCGCCCTCCTCATGTTCCCTTCGCTGTTGATAGTCTGTTCCGTTCCATGGCAGTAGGCAGTTTGTGAGGGAAGTGGGCGGAGAGGGGATGAGGGTCCGGAGAGGGAGAATGAGGGGGATGAGTTTCTGATTTGTATTTGCTGCTATGCCCAGATGGAGGAGGCAAAGGTAGAGGGCAGGGAAGGGCAGGACGAGGAAGAGGAAGAGGAAGAGGAAGAGGAAGGGGGAAGGGAAGAGGAAGAGGAAGAGGAAGAGGGAGAAGAAGATAAAGAGGATAAGTTTGGAGAAGGGAAAAGGAGAGAAGAGATGAGAAGTTGTAAACGGAGATGAGACAACAAAAGGCCCAGGAAGAGAAGAGGCAGGGAAGATAATGAGACAGGTGACTCCCAAGGCAGAAGAAGTGCGTGTAAGACGGGATGTGGCCAATCTTCAACAGAAGAGAGACAATCCGGGGTGAGGAGAGCTGAAGGCTGAGACAGAGAGAAGGGGACGATGAAATCAAAGGTGGTATTGAGGGGAATCAGAGCATAGCAGAAAGGATGAGAGGATGGCAGACGCAAACGATACGAGATGAATTGAATGAGATCTACTCTAGAATGCGTGGATTCCGCTTGGTTCCCTTGATTTGACTAGAGCTTGTGCTACATCAGAATTGGACACACAGATTCTCTCTCGTTTGCTGTCTGCTCATGTTTTGAAATGGCAGGATTGTTACCCAGTTGTCCAAGAAATGTACACAGGCGGGCACAACTTGCACCCGTCTGAGATGATGTCGGTGGATCGAAACTTCTTGAGTAAAGGTTGGCCCAAGAGGAGAGAGCAATGGCTGACAGTTGTTCAGAGATCACTGGTGAAGTCTTCGACAAGGATTGCTCCCGGGCGTGCGAAGTTTGCGGTCAGACAGGGCACACGAAAGATACATGCATGCACCTGGTTGTGCCTTCCTTATCCGCTGAGACGCCCCAATGACCGATGAATAGATTGCAAGCAAGTATGAAGGCTTGAAGGACGTCGACGGTGGGCATAGCGGATCAGTGAGGATGAGAGCGAGGGGGAAGTGGAGCGCTGACTGTGCGAGGAAGACGAATATGCCTGCGGCAACTTCAAGTGGAAGGAATGCTCAAACATCTCTGATCCAGGTGACTTGCTTCCCTCCCCTCTCCTCCTCTTCCTCTGCTTCCCTCCCAACTTTCTTGTTGAGTCGACTTTCTTCAGGCGTTCGCGGTTGCCACCGGTCTGGTTCACTCAGCGGAACCCAAGAAAGTAGAAGCTATTTTGTCTTCCAGCCCTGCCCGTGCTCTGAAGCACATCCATGCAGAATGACCAGGACGCGAAGTTCGCTCAAACTCTCAAGGGCCTGACGTCACAGCATCTCCTCGAAGCTTCCTTCCGCCCCCCAAAACCAGTCATCCCCGCCAAACACGTAACTCCTGCCCCTCCTCCTGTGCCTGCTCACTTTTACGAAAGACGACGAAGGAGAGCGAAGGAGGAACGAGCCAGCAGCTGGTAGAAATTCTCTCACGGAAGTCGGTGAGGGTGCCGGTGAAGCGTCGGCTTGGAGCTTATTCTACTGTCAGGCCCGTGAGATGGAAGCTTTCCAAGCGGTGCACGCAGCCAACATGGCAGAGAACAAATTGAGAGAAGCCCTGCAACGAAAGTGAGAAGAGGAGAAATAGAAGAAGAAGCAGGGGTGGGGGGAACGAGGAGGTATGGAGGACGAGGACGAGGACGAGGAGGCATTGACGAGGACGAGGAGGAGGCATGGTGGTGGTGGTGGTGGCATGGAGGACGAGGCAGGAGCAGGAGCAGGAGCAGGAAGAGGCATGGAGGACGAGGAGGAGACATGGAGGAGGAGGAGGAGGAGGCATGGAGGAGGAGGAGGCATGGAGGAGGAGGAGGAGGAGGCATGGAGGGTTGGAGCCTCTGAGACAGCGGCAGGTCGGATGCGGAGAGGAAGGTGGAAAAGGTGCTGGAGGAGATCAAAAGCCTGGAAAAACACTCCTGAGAGCAGCCCTTACTAGCCCTTTATACAGATAGTACCAAAATTACTACTGATAGTACTAATTTTGACTCAAAGACTTTGACTTTAGTACCATGCCGTGTGCAAGTATACTTTTTGATAGCGAAATAAAATATTTAAAAATGGTTTGTACCAGTTTGTCAGTACCGCTTGGAATGGTTTCTCAATCAGACTCGGACCGGAGAATGAGGACATGTACAAGGAGTCGAGAGGAGAGACGAGAACAGAGAGGGGAGAACAGAGACGAGAGGAGAGAGGAGACGGGAGACGAGAGACGAGAGGAGAGAGGAGAGGAGCGAACAGAGACGAGAGGAGAGACGAGAGGAGCGAACAGAGACGAGAGGAGAGACGAGAGGAGCGAACAGAGACGAGAGGAGAGACGAGAGGAGCGAACAGAGACGAGAGGAGCGACGAGAGGAGCGAACAGAGACGAGAGGAGAGACGAGAGGAGCGAACAGAGACGAGAGGAGAGACGAGAGGAGCGAACAGAGACGAGAGGAGAGAGGAGACAGGAGAGGGGACAGGAGAGGGGATGAGATGATTGAGACGGTGAAGCAAAAGAACAGGTTCTGGTGAACATGCTCCAAAAGCAAGATCGAGAGGATTGTCGAACAACCTGAAGGAGGTGATGAGAAGGTAGGGCAGGTGGGTGAGGTTGATGTTCATGTCAGGATGAAGAGGAGGCTTCGGAGATGCTCACCCCTCGACGTGCTGTAAGTCCCTCCCTCTCCGTAGGCTCACGTTCACCGGCTGCTCAGCTTGTCCGCCCCGATGGTTCTGATCGTCTCTGCCTTGTTCTGGTGGACATGGTGAGGATGAGCAGGAGTATGAGGACATGGGGCAGGGGCAGGAGGAGGAGGAGGGGCAGGGGCAGGGGGAGGAGGAGGAAGTGCGCGTGAAAGGCTGCAGGTACAATCATGTCATTATGATGGAACGAGACTTGTTCTCCCGGTCACGCGTTGCACTGGCAGTTGTGAGTGAACGAGAACTGTCTCTCCCGCTGACCTCTGCTCTCTCCCGCTGACCTCTGCTCTGCTCTCTCCAGCTCGACATCCTCTGCTTTCACTTACTCTTCATCTCCTCTCAGTGGGCTTATCTTCGGGTGTTACCTGCGGGTGAGGGGGGGGGGATGCTGACTTGACTGGCAGACTGTCCTCACTTCTCCTGGGTCACTCCTCCCTCTCGCCCTCCGCCCCCACCTTACCTGCTTCTCCTTGCAGATACTCGCAAGACATCAGCGAGAGCGTCGAGGTCGACCCGCTAGCAGGGCTGGAGTGTGGGAGGCCCGAGCGTGAGGAGGGGAGCGAAGCGCAGCCCAACTCTGAGAGGTCAAGGTTCTGTCAGGTGCTGCCATGAAAGCTATAAGAGGCTGCGAGATGAAAGAAGGAGGGATACCTGCTTCTCTTGCGCATGATTGTGACTGCTTCCACGACGATGAAGACGATAATGATTGCGATGATGATGATGATGATGATGATGATTAAGATGATGACGATGATGATTATGTTACAGATTTGTCAAAGAGACAAGCCGGAGAGGTTCGTGAGTTTCTCGGCTCTGATTGTCTGCCTCACTTCCATCACTCAGAGCTCATCACTGTCGCATCTGCAACAAGTGCGTGATGAGGATGGACCATCACTGCCCGGTTCTCTACCTCCTCTACCCACCTCCTCTATCTCGTCCTCCATCTCCTCCTCGACCTCCCCTATCCCCCTCCGCTACCTCCTCCTCGACCTCCCCTATCCCCCTCCGCTACCTCCTCCTCGACCTCCTCCTCCCCTCTTCTCTATCTCCTCTACCTCCGCTACCTCCTCTATCTCCTCTATCTCTTCTACTCCTCTCCTCTGGCTCGCTCATAGCTGTTCTCTTTGCTCTGCTCATCCTCCTTCAGTGGGTTGCCAACTGTGTTGGGCGCGACAACCACAAGTTCTTCTTCCTCTTCGTCGTCTACACGCCTCTCACTGGTCTGCCTCCTCCTGCCTCCCCCTTTTTCTCCTCCTCCTCCTGACGTTTGCATGTAAGCGATCTATCACACCATCACTACCAGCGTGTGGGCCAGTCAATGGCTGCACAGTCACCTGGATGTACGTTGCCTTCTCCCTCGCTCGTTCTATTGCACCTCCTCAAATTTCCATCATCATCATCATCATCATCATCATCATCATCATCATCATCATCATCATCATCTTCTTCTTCTTCTTCTTCTTCTCTACTCACT